GGAAAAGAACGTCTGGGGAGCAGACACTATGCTATAGTTTCTTCTAACTGTACAAGCCTGTTCCCCTCATAAAGCTCCCAAAAGGGAAGGTCCTGATTTCTTACTCTTTTCCCATTATACCAAACCATTCTGACTTCTTTGTATTAACTGAGCTCTTGCCTCTAATGGACTCAGGCTCTGGATCTGAACTGTAGGCATTTGTCCTTGGGATCAGGTGAGTCTAGTATATCTCTAACTTTCCTATTTTTGGTGTAATTCGGAGGACACAATGGAATTCCTGGTTCCATGGTGGTGGGGCTTTTTTCCTAAAGAATCATTTTGTTTAGAGAGATTACCATTATACACATTTTTATCTTTTTACCAAAGCCCATACAAAATTTCCCAAAGGGAAAGGCAATAATATTGAGAATCGCTAAAAATGAAAGTAAAAAGGTGTTGGAGAAGTGTGGTCTACAGTGTCAGAATGCTGGGACTCTGTCAAGCAGCAAGGGTCACCGTTTGGTCCGCGCTGAAAAGGAGAATTTTTAAAGAGAAAGAAAATTATGTCAGAGGGATATGCATCTCTATACAAAAAAATACACATGTCCACACAAATACTTGTATATACGTGCTTACAATAGCTATATTATAGTGGCCAAGAACTACAAACAAATATTCCTGGGAAGTGAAATGCATAAACAGAAATTAATGTAAGCTTACAGTGAAATAAACACTCAGCATTAAAGAGCACCAAAGCAGTGATACACAGAAGCAAACAGAAACATCGAGTAGTAGATTCATTCATAGTTTTACAGTGACGGTATAATTGGCATACACACATCAAATTATAATGTTTTACTATGTGGAATCTCTTGTATGCCACCTGAATCTCTACAAGGCTGATCTCATAAAGATTTGGAGAAGAGGTTCAGGCTGTGACGTTCACTCCCCAGATCCCACATTATAAAAGCTGACCAGAGCAGCAGTGCGTATAATCTCAGCGCTAGGGGCGCAGAGGCAGGAAGGTCCCGGGGGACTTGCTACCCTGATAGTCTAAGATGCAGAGGCAAGCTGGGGTTCAGAGACCCTGCCTCAAAATAAATAAATAAATACATTAACAAACAAACAAACAAATAAATAAAAAGAGGTAAGGGAGTAACTGAGTAAGACTCCTGCTTCCTACCTCTAGCCTCAACACACACATGCTTGAGCACGTGCATATGTACCCACACAAAAGAAAGAAAAAGACAAAAGGATTGGTGCTCGGTCTCAGGGTGTAGTTCAGTGGAGGGGCACTTGCTTATCCAAGGCTTCAGGACTTATACTTTAAAATGTCTTCTTTGCTAATTGAGCTTACCTGAAACAACTTGCAAGCCTAAAGTAGATCTCAAGGTATTTCATTGCTAGTAAATTAATTATGAAGTGTCACATGCTGCTTGCGGTTATTACATCTATGGTGTCACCCCATTATGTGCTTCAAGGTCTCCCTAAGTTTAGAAGTTTATGGGTATCTAATAGTCTGATGTTTAACGCACAGAACATTCCAATGCAGTAAATGATTTGCCAGTCCCTCAGCCTTCTCAAGCTGAAACAATACCCACAATCCAGTAGACCCAACAGTGGATGTCTCTGTGTGGAATGAACAAACCTTGGGTTGATGCAATACTGAACTTAAAGGTAGCTCAAGATACTTACTATTAAATAGTTCAATTTACTTTTTTTCTAAAACCATAAATAAAGTAATAGCTTATTAGATAGTGAAATGATATGTCTTGATTCCAACAGGCTTTAAAATTAGGTTTTTAGAAAGATATAAATATAAACCAAATACTTCATACAAATCATGTTTAATTTGGAAGTGATAGTGGCATTATGGCTATGTTTTTTTATATTTTGATTGTAAGCCTAGCCTTTAACGGCTGACCCAGCCAAGCTATGCTTTTTTTAAAATAATACTTAGCTTAAAGATAAAAGTAATGAATAAGGTAATATGTATAGGATTTGCTTTAAAATATCCAGAAAGAGACAATCTTGGTTATGACATATTTTTATATTTATTAAAAATAGGTAATTAATTAGTACGAAGGTTTTTCTTCTTTTAAAAATGTTGGGAAATTACTATTGTATTTTTAGAACAAAAAAATTGGTTATATAGATTAGCACCTTTTTAATAAGATTTTTAATTTTCGGAATAAAAATATGTTTACACCATTTTCCTCTTCCTCTTTCCTCCCTCCAACTTGTGCTTGTATACCACCTCCCTGCCCCTTCTCAAATCCATGAGCAAGGCTGTTGAATGCATCTATAGCATCTATTAGAAAGCAATTGACTCAACCAACACTTGATACAAACCCTCCCCTCACTCGCCAGTGCATGCAAATTTTTCCAGGAGATTTGTAGCTTAGAGTGGCCATATGACACAACTTTGGAGAGTAAAGTCTGCTGGGATTCCTCAGAAATTTGGAAAAGTTTTGCTTTTACAGATCAAGTCAGCAAGCAGCGTGGCTGGTATCCTAATTTGGGTTCTCTGTTGCAGCGATAAATACCATAACCAGAAACACCTGAGGGCGAAAGGAATTTGTTTCATCCTATACTTCAGGTAGCAACAGTTTACCACTGAAGAATTTCAGGGCAGGTACCTGGAGGCAGGAACTGAAACAGAGACCAGGGAGACATGCTGCTTAGGTGGCTTCCTCTCAGCTCACTTTCAGCAACCTTTCTTATAGAGCCCTGGTACACCTGCCTTGGGATGGGACCACCCACAGTGGGCTGGGTCCTCATACATCAAACTAGCCATCAATGAAATGTCCCGCAGACATGGCTGCAGACTAAACGGAGCTAGTTTAAACAGTTCCTTAGTTTAGCATCCCTTTGTCCAGGCATGTCAAGCTGTCAAAAGAAGCTAATGATGACAGTCAGTTTCCACTTCTAATTTCCTGTCTTTGAATGGGACCTAGATTTTGAGCCACTGAGGGCAGACTGAAACCCTGAGGAAGATTTGCATGCTATCTAAAATGTAAATGCCCATCCTGCTTCCACTGAAACCCTGAACTAAAACCTTTGGCCACCTATATCCAAGAGTCTACAATATCTAGTTACCGTTAATGTAAATATAAAAATCGCTTTTATTGAAATCATTGTAAATCAGCTTTTCTGTTACTTGCAGCTAAATGCTTCCTCGCTTTTCCAATTTGTTATATAGGATATAGGATTTCTCTTCTACACTTTGAAGCAATGGTAATATCTGTTACTAACGGAAATTTTTCATTAATTTGAATTGCATATTAACGTGCCATGGGGGAAAATTTCTATTCATACTCCCTCAGCACAGTTGGATCATCTCACCAAAGTAGCTGAAAATTATTTAAAACTATTTAGACATTCTAAAGTGAAATGAATTCTTCTTAATTACTAAGTTCATTCATATATGGTACATTCTTTTCCTGGTTTTAATTCTATCACTATTTTATTTTGGCTCCTGACCTCAGGCCAATTTGAGACCCAGCTTCCCACAGTAAATTGGCAAACAGGCACATGTCAAGAACTCTTAGAATCCGAGGGACAAAAAACATAGTCCTACCTCACCGACTCATAAGGAAGAGGGACTTCGGCCCCCAAGGCCAACTCCATCAAGTCTTCAGACCTAAAGTCAAAGCTTTACCCTTCGAGAAGACACTCAAAACTAAATACTATGCAGTATTTCACACCTGTCCAAAGTTCACCCAGTTCCAGACTGTGTTTAGAGTCTTAGCTATAAGTCAAAACCACCATCCAATATTTGTGAGAAAGAAGGAACATTGCCAAACTTCTTTTGCATTTATTTTCATTTAAAGACTCTAAACCCCTAGCCAGGGGAAACAGGCAAGAAAAAGAAAATAGAGTCATACAAATTAGCAGGGAAGAAATGAAATTGTCAGTTTTGAAAGATGATATGCTCATTTGTAGATATACAAATAAATATGCATATATTCATATTGCCATTCATAATACATATATGTATAATTCATATCCATATATATATATATATACATATGTATGCAGAGACCCCCCAAAGACCTCACCAATGACCACTAGAACTACTAAATGAATCTATCAAAGTTGTGGGATGTGAAGCTCAGTGATATGTTGCTAAGGTTGATAGAAAACTCTGTCCCAGAAATCAAGAAAGCCATCTTATTTATAATAGCCACAAAAGAAAAAAAAAAAAACCTCAGTATCTAGAAATAAATTTAACCTAAGAGGTAAAAGACAATTATGAACGACTGATGACTTAACCCAAATAGAACTAAAACTTGGAACGATATCTCTTATGTGTGGATTAAAGGACTCGGAATTCTTTTCTGGCGGTTCGGTCATTTCATTCTCTCATTTCAATTACTGAGGAATCATGAGCTTTTGGAAGCATCCAGGTGGCTTGCTTTCTCACGTTTGGAGTTTCTTTGTTGGTTTTAGCACAACTGTTTGATGGATATTTTTCCTGGGCTTTGGATTTGGGGAGGGGGGTTGCAGGGAGAAGGGGTTCTACACTTCTTGTTTGCCTGGTTTATGAGTCTTTGTCGATAGCTTTCACCTGGGTTTATGATCTACCCATCTTCCCCGCTACTCTGAGGACAGGCAGCCAGTCACAGTAACAGAAGCACCACTCTGGGCACAGCTGATATTAAAATGCAGTAAGAGAACTTGGTACTTTCAGTTACATCCTCAGGAAGATGCCAAAACAGAGAAGGTGGGATACAGCTGGAATGAATGTTCACGGGGTTTTAAAGCTACAGGTGTTCATTATTAGGAAGCTGAAAAGGAGGCAATGGGGGGAAAGAAGAAGAGAGTGGGCATGAAAGGAAACGTACTAGAGGTGAGAGACTATAATATATATATATATATATATTACAGAATTGATAGGAAAAAGAAAGAACAGTGCTGAGAGCCTGTCAAGCAAGATCAGAGGTCAATCAAGCAGTTAAACAACTACAACTGCAAAACTGAAAAGTTTTAGAATTGAGATAAAGTAGAATAAAAACTACCATATCACCAGTCCGGATTTCCTCTTTGCTGTGTAAATGTGTTCCTCCTTCAGCTCCTGGGTTGTCTTTTGACCCCATAAGCGGGGAGTCTCTATGGAACAAAACAAGTTAGAGCAGAATGCATAATGTCTACTCTGCTGGGGTAGGCTCAGCTCTCTCAGAGTGTCCACGTCCTCAGCCTGGGCCACATTAGCTGTCCCGCCCACCCTCGTCCACACATAACATTCTCTGATGTTTTGAAGGACAGGAGATTTTCAACATCCCAGGCTTAGGAGGCAGGGGCATACACCCTTGACTGTGTTCCTCTTTGTAGGTCAGAATTCTCTTCCCACCAGGACCCTGGCTGCCCCTATCACCCTCCCCTATGTCTCTCACACCGCTCACCGAGGACCCCAGTTCTTGTTGGAGTATTTATATCTGCACTCATAAGTGTTTCAGGTTCAACTCATTTCTAGCATTGTGCATTTGTCGTGGCTGTAGCTCCCTCGTCTGTGGAGAAGTGACGTGGTCTCCTGGATTTAGGGATGCAGTTGTACCAATTTTTCTGCTTTCCCTGAGGAAGCATCTTGACAAAATGAGTTACCCCTTTTGGGAGTGGCACTCTCCTTGCTCCCATTTGGGGGTGGGAGAGAGAGAACAAATTGAAGCTTCTGCTGGCAACCCTACAGAGGCACCAGGTCCACAATTCAGTTTTTGTAGAACTGTTTCTGCAGTTCTTCCTTTCTGCTCACAGAACCGGAACAAGGAAGACCTGCAAGAATTAAAAATAATGTCCTATAAAGTATATAAATGCATATAAGCATTTTGAACATTAGTATATGTAATACAACATGGGAAAAACATTAAAAAAGAATTGACATTGGAATAAATATTATGACATATTTTTATTATTAGTGATACCATTTGTAATTTGATTTCAACAAAACAATCCAGTTGAGTAAATATTCTTGGTTCAAAATGAAAAACAAAAGTTAAATGTCTCTATGCTTCAGGTAAGACAGTCTAACCTGACAATTGCATGATGATAAATTCACACCTATCCACACAGCTAGTCAAGGGCATGAGTAGGCTTTGTGTTTAAAGCCTCCATTAGCTAAAGTGTGATTAGAATCACAACAGGCTGCATTTTATGACAGACGCTCTAACACTGACCACCAATAGCCCCTGCTTTCCAAATACAAGACCCTACTTGTGTGTGGCCACCCTTCCTAAAGCCAGCAGCACAATGTTCTCTAGTGACGGGAAGACTAGAAACAGCTCCATCCACTCGTTCTCCGTTCCCACAAATAAGCTGCCCCCTTACACTGGGTCACATTTTACCCCTTCCAATTTCTTAGAACGCACCGTAAGTCTAGCAGTGCTGAGGACGGCAGGCCCCAGAAACAGGCCAGATATCAAACTGATGTTCAGCTATCTCCGGGAAGCAGTGGAATCAGTCTTTCTGGATTAGAATCCTAACTCCAGCAAATTCCCTAATCGCTCTGGGTCTTGGATTCTTCATCTCTCACACAAGGATGTTGATACTAGTGCCCACCTTGTAGGGATATAGAGGCCCGGAAGAGATTATGCTGTGCTGACAGGTATTAAGAGCTCCGTAAGTATTACACGTTGCCCGACTCTAGCATTATTTCTTGATCAGAGCTCTCTGTCAGCCTGCTCTGTTACAGCCAAGCTGCAGGATTTCTCGGCAGCAGCTGTTTGTCACCACACTCCAGGGGCAACTGTGTCTCAGTCTGGCTCTGTTGTAGGGGTCAGGAGTCGACCATGGCAAGTCCATTGTCACGGTCATCCTTGATACCCGACACATCCTCAATGGAGGCACAGCAGACAAAGCCCAGCTGGTACAGAACAAGGGCAAGACAGAAAGGAGATGATCTGGACTGGATCCAGAGGATCTTTTGGAAAGCTAAAATAATACTTGCCATTATTCCTTTAGTAAAACACTAAAGGAATGTCTGCTCGTTGTGGTGGTCAGTCTTCATGGATAGCTTGAGTAGGCTTAAAAATCACCTGGGAGACACATCTCTGAGCATACTGAGAGCATTTCCAGAGATATTTAAATGAGGGAGGATCTACCCTCACTGTGAGTGGTGCCATTCCAGGGACTGGGATCCTAAATTGAATAATAAGGAGGAAAGGAAGAAGCCAGCTGATTGTCAGCCTTTATCTCTCTGTGTGTTTCTTATTTGAAGATACGGTGCAAGCCGCAGTCTCAGCCCTGCCGCCATACCTTCCCCACCGTGAACTGTACCTTCAAACTGTGAACCAAAAGAACCCTTCCGTCCCCAAGTTCCTTTCCTTAGAGACCTCATCACAGCAGTGAGAAAAGTAACTTAATTATTAACTAATAATTAAGAATAAGAGTCCAATGGCAAGTGCTTTGTCTATTGAGTATTGTTTATTTTGTATCACAAACAGCGCTAATTAGAATATATTCAATTCCTCTCTGCCTGCTCTTCATACTGGGATGAGTTCTAGAGGCAAGCCTGGATTTGAGTCCCATGCATTAGCCAGAATTCAATAACGTTTTCTTCAATACATTAACTGTTAGCCATTCAGTTACTATTACTAACAATATATGAACCCATTTTGAAAGAGATTTAAGCTACCCTATTCTAGCCCGACATGGCAGACAAGCAACTTTTCCTCCATGGGCTCCCAGGAGGCACTTGACATCCACAGCTTTGACTATGCTCTGCTACAATCATGAGTTTATATCCTGTGGCAACCCCCTCCCCTCCAGATTGTGAGGCCCTTGTTTTGTAGTAATGGGTGTCTTCAGTAACCAATCCAGAGCACGATATACTGTGGGCACTTAGTAACCTTCCTGGTAGCTAAGAATAATCAGAGAAGCAAAGTCAAAATTCAATCAAATCCTTTTAGCCGGAAACCCTGTGAATGGAGTTTCATCATCCTGGGACTTGGGCGTGGACCACCTCTCTGCCTATGTATGAATGCATTTATCTGCATATGAGCTAATGGGTCAGCTCTTTCTGGAATGTATCGTAGTGAAGGCAGCTTACAGGAAGAGTTAGTACACCTCAAGAAAATAATCAGTGTAATCTTCCAACCAATAAAATCAAGCCCCTTATATTCTGTTTAATTTTCTAGGAGTTTTTATATACATATATATGTTCCACACACACAGTCCTTCACGTATATACCAGCACTGTATTTTTAACAACATAGGGTTTTTGAGGATTGAATGGTCTTAAACAACGGTGTTTTATTATTTCTAGCACACCCACCATGGGAACATCCTCGGGGCTCGCGCTTCTGCTATTGGAACATTTGTTTTTTATTCTGAATATTTCAGCACATCTATTTACCTGGCACTATATTTAGTACCACAGTGCCAAGATGGCATATATAAAGACTCAATTGCAATTCCCATCTGATGTCCCTTCCCTCTCCTTTTTACCCCCTTTTTTTATGTCCGCACTCTGAATTCAGCACAAAGTTGGTGTGTTTAATTTAAAAAGAAGTAAAACGCTCCAGGAGACGCCTCAGACCACTGCAAATCACCCACTTTATGGAGGCAGTAAAATTGTGTATCGGATTAGAAGTGATGCTGATCTGAAATTTATGATAACTTTTAATGGCATTATAATTTTTTTCCCCGTGCGCTCCATAACTGCGTCGTTTCGATGTACAGAGCAGTGAGATGAAGTTTGTAAGGGAAGAACATTATCCAGGGAAGCCCAGGGAAGAAAAAAAAAGCCAGTGGAATAAAGCAGTAGCCCCACATGGGCAGATGCAAGCCATTCTTCCCGTGCTCCATAGAGAGGCACAAACTCCACAACGACCCTTCAAAAATAAAGGCAGCCTAGGCTCCAGAATTTGTTGGTAAGACTAGGAATTGTAGTAAACTCGACCCTGAAGAAGCTTGTTGTGACTGCTATATACCAGCCAGCATTGCAAGACACTGTTCCTTCTCGGCTGAAAGAAACCCACCATGCCTCCTGAAGTAGTTCAGTGGAACAAGCGGTGCTTCCCTGGGTGTGCCCTGACGCCTGGTTTCCTCTGTGACAACTCCAATCCTCATTGGTTCCAAGAGGATAGAGGGGCTTTCTGAAAGTACCTTAAACACACACACACACACACACACACACACACACACACACACAGAGAGAGAGAGAGAGAGAGAGAGAATAACAGAGGAGAGAGGAAAAAGGAAGACATGGAGCTATTTTAAATCCCAACAACAGTGTTTACACTATGCACTAACCTAAAATACAAAAGACGAACTGTGAGAATGCCTCTCCAGAAATGCCATGAGAGTCGCAGGAGCATTCTTTTCAACACAACCCATCTTCCAATCAGGGGTCATGATCTCTTGGTTATTTCTGAGGACACAAGGCTCATTACCAGCTGGAGCCCTTCAGTAATTGATTTATAATTCTGTTGAACAACGTGTTTGTTACTCAAGGCACAAGGCACCAAGTGCTGTGCTGTGGGGAAAATAATTGTAAAAGTACATATGTTTTCTGTTCTCTGACTAGAAAAAACTGTATAGGTTCCAGACCCCCCAAAAAAGCAACTCTTCAGGAAGTGCATACTATCTATCTATCATCTGTGTGATATTTTCATCAAGAATATCAGCATGAATTTAATAATGACTTGGTGACCTGAAAGGCACTCACAGAAGACTGGCCTGAATGCTTTAAAAGTGTCAGCATTGTAAAAAATAAATAAATAAATAAAATAAAAAAATAAAAAAAAAATTGAAGCACTCATTCACTTTAAAGGAGATCAGAAGGCTGAGGCAGGAGAATTGCCATGGATTCAAGGTCAGCCAGGGCTATATAATGAGACACTGGAGACAAAGAGAAAGGAGAAAGGGGGAGGGAAATGGTAGAATGGTAAAAGCAAAATGCTGAAGATCCCTGAGTGGCTTCAGTGGGCACCCGGCCATGAGACCACACTGCAAGTCCCTGAGTGGCAGTGGATCCCAGAGAAGCCAGTCCCAGGCAGGGATGGAGCAGTTCCCCCGAGTGGCTGTGGCGGGTCACTAGTCCCAGGCAGGGAGCTGTGTGGTGGATGAGAGACCTCAACAGTGAAGCCAGTCCCACGAGGAGAGACAGACGGATGGGTACACTCCAGGAGACCACCCCGAAGATCTTCAAAGGAGGCTGGTCCTGGGCAGGGAGACATGCAGCGGGAAAGAAACAAAGACATGGATAGGCACACCATGCAGAGTGAGGTTGGATATTTATTTAATGGGTTATGGAGGGGAAGGGGAGAAGGGGGATGAGCAGAGAGAGGCAGGGTGGAGAGGAGAGAAGCCACAGCAGCAGTTACCTCTCTGGGAGAGACAGAAAAGGGGCGGGACTCAGATTGAAAGCTGAAGATCAGCTTGCCTTGGTGGAAGGGAGGGGTGAGTGGGCATGGCTTGTCTCTTAAAGGTATCGGACAGGTCGTTGCGGGGAGCTGTTGGTTAAACTGCTGGACAATTTAATACAGACCTCTCTTAGACAGCCTCATTATACAAATATTAAAGTTTGGGCTGGGGCTGTGTGAGATTATGAGCTTGATTTTGAGATATGAATGCTGAAATAATAGGGCATAAAATGTCAGATCTTCAAATTACTTCCAAACAGTCCAGCAACAACAGCTCAGGCAGCCCTGCAGAAGGTTAACAGCCAGGGAAGCCAGATGAGGGGTCACTAGGGGTTCATTAACAATCCAGGTGAAGGGTAGGGGTTGGGGGGGGGCTCATTAACTTTTTATTTTTCCAGCTTAGAATTATTTTCAAAATAAGAAGTTGTGATAAATCCTCCCAAAATCATTTCCTCTGGGTAAGATTTTCAGTATCTGACTGTTATCTTCCATGCCCCTACACACTCCTGCAATGCTGGAAGCACTGGGTTTACCTTCGACACCAGTGTGTCTTTGGTGTTGTTTCTCCAGCTCCCAGCAGGCAGCTGCCTCTGGAAAGGGTGGGGAAGAGCACCAGCCACCAGGCTCCTGCCAAATTTGGCACTGGGCTCCTTTCCTCGTCTACAGAATCAACCCACACGATCAAGAAGAAAAAGCAAACGCAATGAGTTCTCTGTCGGAAAGGTTATTTTTAGACTAGTCCACAACTTACCCCCAGCGATGAGCCGACCCATTCCTTGAGACAAAAGTAAAACCTCCACAAAAGCCATACAAGGTTCAGTCCGCTGGGGACGCACATGAGCTTGAGCACATGCGCCAAGAAAAACTATGAAAACCGAGATGAACTGGTCAGGTTTAAAGTGCCCCCACCCCATGTTGTCTTGGCATTTCTTACCTTCTGGGTCAAAATTGAATTCACTGAAGCAGTTCCATGCCGGCTTCTTCTACTTTCTCTAGGACTAAAAAAAGACCAGAGCACCAAATTTCAGACATTTGGGTTTCAGCAGAAGTCAGGAAGGCTCCAGCACCAACCCCTGACCCCAGTTCCCCAGCAACAGAACCAGGTACCCTGTTTCAAGTTTGGCTCAAGGAGCTCATTGGCTGTAAAAGAGGCCTGCTGCGCCTCTCTCTCTCTCTCTCTCTCTCTCTCTCTCTCTCTCTCTCTCTCTCTCTCTCTCTCTCTCTCTTTCTCCCAGAAGTTCTTCAGTTGCCTGGGTGGAGGAGCCAATTTAGACAGGCCAATTCCTCTTGCTTTCTCTGATTTCACCTGGTTCTGCCAGGCCTTTTGAGTCAATTCACTAGTGTCAATGAATGCCTAATGAATGCCTTTCCTTCTGTGTTAAAATTATATGTGCTTATCTCCTTGCCTAGACCCCACTGAAGTCATTATTTCTAAAGATTTCAAATAACAGAAAATCAGAATATATCACAGCAAGGCACAGAGTGGCTGGCCATTTAGTGTAACTCCTTCTTTTTACAGACAACTAAGTGAAACTGAGGCCCAGCGAGGGGAAGCCAGTTATCCCAGGTCACGCAGTTAATTCCCTGTAAAACCTAAGTTGAAACCCTACTTTTGACTCCCATCATGCTCTGCTTCCATTGAAACATGTGACTCTTCTTTGACCATTATACACATGGTCCTTCAAGAGTCCAAATGTGTCTTCCATGGAGTGTCTCGATGTTTCTCCTACTCTGGCAGCCTTTGAATAGTTAATCAACCACAAAGTCTTGGAACGTGACTGGGTCAATACCCAACTATTCTTAAGTAGGTTGGGAAGTTCCTCTTCTCTTGAACATTCCCCAAAGTCTATTCTTCACTGACCACGGCCTCTCTTTTCTCTCACAGACAGAAGAAAACTCTCTTCCTAAGTCATACAATTTCCTACCCAGGATTACAAATTCTTTTGAAAACTCTACTTCTCTCTTTTTTCTTCCCCCTAAATGTACTCCTTTCTTCTCTGCTACCTAGAGCTTCTCAGTGCTTAGCTACTACATGTTCCAAAGGTCTCTGAACACCACGAATCTGACCTCTGCCACACCGTTTTAACACTGACAGGAATTCCCTGGCTCTGAAATTTTGATCCTACCTCTTTTCAACCTTGAGCTCTTTCAAAGCAAATCTATTTAGATGTTGGTAGCCAGGGCTGAGTCCTGAGAGCTACCCCTCCCATGTTTGCACGTCCTCTGCTGCCACTGCTGCTCAGGGTTTATTAGGCAGCTGTGCTAATAGGACTCCGTGAGTATAGACTCGTTGACATTTCTAGGAGACTAATCTCTCAGCACACTCCCTTTTCCTCTGGCTCTTACAATCTTTCCTTCCCCCTCTTTCAGTGATCCCCAAGCTCTAGGGGCAAGCCTCGTGGTGTAGACATACAGGTGCATGGGATGGGTTGGGAGAGAAAAGGGAAGTGAGGGAATGATGTAATTGTAATTTCCGAAAATAAACGAAAATTTTATTTTTAAGAATATCTTTAAATTTTTAACAAATAAAGATTAAAGAATAAAAAAATTATCTTGGGCCTATTATTTTTTGTCTCCAGCCTGGTCCTTGTTGTAGGGTGGACCCTTACACCAGTTAGAATTTGAGAATAAGGAGACAGAAACCAACAGAATTGCCAAGCTTTTTAATGTACCATTCTGGGTTTGTGATGATCCCAGAAGGCAGACCATCTCTGATTGAAGTAGCACATGTCAGAGTCCTCACAAGTCCCCTTTCCTAGAAGACACATCTCTTCCTTACAGTGGTATCTAGATCCCTGCCACCCAGTTCCATTGGCCTCTGAAGGGGTCTTCTCAGAGGGACCAGATTCACCCTCAGACTTGCACAGCTTCCAGAGAGCTTCTTCTTTCTTCATGGTGCTACATGTCACCATTGGTAACTGATGTAGGAGGGTCATCTGTCTATGTGTTACTTTCATTGGCTAATAAAGAAACTTCCTTGGCTTTTAATAGGACAGCAGCTTAGATAGGCGGAGTAGACAGAACAGGATGCTGGGAGAAAGAACCAGAGTCAGGCAGATGCCATGGAGTCAGCCGCCAGGCCAGACATGCTGGATCTTTCCCGGTAAGCCAACACCTCGTGGTGCCACACAGATTATTAGAAATGGACTAATCAAGATGTGAGAATTAGCCAATAAGAGGCTAGAACTAACGGGCCAGGCAGTGTTTAAATGAATACAGTTTCCATGTAATTATTTCGGGTAAAGCTAGCCAGGCGGCCAGGAGCCAAGTGGGACGAAAAGCAGCCCACTGCTCCTTTTACAAGTGGGGCCCAATTATCTGTATTCTGTCAATCATGTATTTTAATAAAACACTGGCCAGGCAGGAAGTATAGGCTGGTCAACCAGACAGGAAGCAGAGGTGGGGCAATAAGAACAGGAGAAGGCTAGGAAGGAAGAAGCCCATTTCTCGCATTCCTGCCCAGACCACAGAGAAGCAAGATGTAACCTGTCCCCGCTGGAAAAGGTACTGAGCCACGTGGCTAGCATAGATAAGAATAATGGGTTAATATAAGCTACAAGAGCTAATAAGAAGACTGAGCTAATGAACCAATCAGTTTATAACCTAATGTAGACTTTGTGTGATTTTCTTTGGGGCTTGCTGGCTGTGGGGTATCGGGTGGGACAGATACCCCAACAAGCAGGCCCCTTCATGTTACAAGTAACACTGGTTCCCTTAATCTTTAATGATTCCTTTTCTTTCTAACGTTCTCTGTCTTATATTCTGTGGTAGTTTGAATAAAAATACCCCCCAAGGTCCATAGAAAAGGGCAGGATTAAGAGGTGTGGCCTTGTTGGAGTAGGTATGCCTTTGTTGGAGGAAGTGCATGAATAGAGGGTGGGATTTGAGATCTATAAACTCAAACATAGCCTAGTGGTTCATAGTTCTTTTCCTGTTGTCTGAGGATCTGGATGTAGAACTCTCAGCTCATCTCCAGCACCCATGTCTGCTGAATCCTGCCATGCTTACCAAAACGATGATAACAAACTAAATCTCTGAAACTGTAAGCCAGTCCCAACTAAACCTTTCCTTTACAAGAGTTGCTGTGGTCATGGTAACTCTTCACAGCTGTAGAAACCCAGCTGAGACATGTTCCCTCTAGAAAGCCGTCACATATCCCTTTAACATTTCACTATACTTGAGATGTTCTCTAGCAGTGAGGCCAACTTGAACTGCTCGTACTGCTCATAGCAGATATAAGAGAGGAAAATGCAATCAGGGTGTATTCATCTATTTTTCAGCCATATGAGCTTCACTGTGTTCATTAAGGCCTCTACACCTTAGTTCCCTTTCACTATAGTATTTTCTAGAGTCACAGTTAGCAACAGGAAAATAGTATGTGCAACATGTTTAACTTAGTATCTGGCATTTAGTATACAAGATAACAACAACACAGAACAATAAGTGCTTCTATATTACACTACCACCCTAAACAGGAACATGGAAGCAGGTGAGTTTGTTCTCACATTCATTTCTTTGTATTTTTTGGTTTTATGTAAGCCTTAGTACATTCTTGAAAAAAACATAATTTTGGCTGACTCTTAGTTTGCTTTTTGGTTGGTTGGTTGGTTTGGTTCAGTTTGTGTTTGTTTGGCCAATCATTTGTTTGTTAGTTTTGACATATAATCTCTTTCTTGTAGCCCCAAGAAGCCTCCAACTTGTTCACTTAACTGCTTCTGGAGCCCTTACTGAAAGGGAATTGTCCTGCTGAGTCTGTGTAAGAAAAAGGTAGAAGAAGACATAGAATAAGGTAGGACAAGAAGAGAAAGAAAGTTCAATTTGGAATGGATTCCGCCAAAGAACAGTCTGTGTGATCAAGGTCCATCAAATTCAGTCTCCACTGCGCCCTCCAGAGGCTCTGCCCCTGCACAGAGCCTTCTTCCAGAGACACAGTGCTCCAACACAGTGCTCTAACACAGTGCTCTCTGCTCTCAGGCCTCCAGGTCTTCCCTGAAGATGTAATGAATGATGAGTGGACACCTCAGACTTGCTCTGAATGATTCCCCTTTACCTAATTATCTACCAAGAGGGAAATCGGATGCATTTGATCAAGTCTGGCCAATGTGTTCCTTGTCTAACCCCATTAGTCTCAGTGATAGGAAGATTCCTAAAGCAATTAAAACTATGTTATCCCCTGAGGGCTCTGGTTCAAAACGTCTTCCCCAGTGCTCTTGCAGCCTGGTTATCTCAAGGATGAGAATGTCACCATCAGGGCTGGACAGTGAGTCCCTTATAGAGGCACAGTGTCCTCTCGTGCCAGCAAACAGGGATCAGACCTCACTTTAGTCACTAGTTTTCAGAAACCAGGGACCCTCAGGTTAAGCACTGCCATGAAGGCATGGGTGCGTTCCTGGCTAGATTGCTCTCACGGTTCCATCTTGCAGATGTGGATCGCACGTGCTACATGCCAGGTGGAGAGACTGTAGTCCACGGAGAACTCCAATGACCCACAAAATGCCTTCAAAGGCATTAGCCCATTTGGGAAGCCTTTAGAAGCCCATTAGAAATGTCAGTGCACACTAAAAAAGCCGCCGATCCGAACGCGCTGAGGCTTAACCTCATTAAACTGTTGCCGCAACACAGGGTCAAACTTATCTTGCTTCCAGATTCCTTTCCTCTTGCCAATCGCTGAGAGGCCATTTTCTTTCTAATTAATTTCATCTAGATGAAACCTGCACAAATGTCAGCACAACAAATTAAGACTTATTGATTATTGGCTTTTTAAAAATAGTTAATGGTTCTGTCCAAAGATAGAATATTTTAAGGACATCAGTGAGACAGTTCGGCTCAGGCTGCTCCTGGGTTTTTGGATGCTGAAAACAGTATCCTAAGCATCCGCTGCAGACCCATCTCATCGTTTTCATCAGAAACCTTATATGTATTTTACAGTCAAAAATATAAAAAGTCAGGAAAGTGCACCTTAGAATTGGACACCAATTGGACACCCTCTGGCCCTTACCTTTTCTATGTGGGGCACCACTTTCATTAACCCGTTCTATTCTCCCTTCAAACCTTCAAATTTGTTTACCAAGATGATTGATATGAAAATAAAAGATAAAAATCAAGTTCCTTCTCAGAAATCTTTGTTTTAAGGTTCACGGTGACAGGATGGATGTCAGGAACTAGAGACAGGACAGTCTCTCCACAGACCTGATAGACTCCTGCTCTGCACAAGGACAGTTGTCAGAGGAACACCAACCCTGACGACCACTCTCAGAAGGATGCAAACTAGTTCAAAGTATCTGTATATGCCTTTTTTAAAAGTTAGAAATGAGGTTGGGAGGTGCTATATGCCATCGCTTGGGAAGCAGTGTGGATTCAAGGATCTGGGCTGTCCAATGAGACCCTGCCCCACGTACGTGAGCAAGCATGGAACTGCAAAGCCTCGTGAATTCCGGGTGTGGTGCAGCTGGCACCCTCTCCTTCATTTAGCTTGAGAACTTTCTAGGAAATCACAGGGTCCCCTTCGCTGGGGGAAAATCAGGAGCAAAGAGAAGCAAATTGCATCAAAGATAACATCACACTACGAAGAAACATCCAGCTCCCAGTTCTGAAATACTTTAACGAGACCTTTTTGTAATGTTATCCAGTTCATCAAGAGCTTTTATTTTACCAATTAAGTATATCCAAAGCCTACAAGTAATGTTCCTAAATAGGAGAAAATCAGGCTCATGATCTACACAGATAAATTGCTGTGGGGAAGAGATTTATACCACCTTTTCTTTGCTTTTATCCTACTCAAATGTTTCAGTTTGTCAGGGAACAACAGTATGCTCTCTTCTCACATTTATTCTGGAACTGTGATCATTCTGCCTTCGTCTATCACTTAGATCCAGGACAGGCGTCCTAGGGACCATCTAGTCCAACCCATCACTTTATAGCAAAGAGCTAAAGCCCTGAGCAGCTTCTACATGCTCTAGGAAACAAGACTGAAAGGGATCCATATATGTGTGGCAGAATTTGCATTCACTATCCAATGCAGTTTCTCTATCACGTGTCCAAGACTATAGGTCAAATAAAGATGTCAAGCTAAGTGATGTCAATGCCAGAAAGCCAACAAATCCAGCATAGAAAAGAAAAAAAAAACCTGAGAGAATTCACTGGACTCAGCCCGGGCCTAAGAAGACCAGACAATGTGAGATTCGTGGTCTGAAACAGAGAGGTTCCAGCTGAATTACAGCATAGTTGTGTCAAGTCTCAGAACACATCTGTCGTGCCAGATGAAGGAATAAGAACTTCTCATGAGCTCCTCGTGGGGGTCTTTCATTTTAAAGGAGACTTCAGAAATGAAGACATGGAGACAGGAATAAGTACCTGATGCCTGGATCACTGCAGCAGGGGACTGGACTAGTTGATCTTGACATCCTAAGAGAGCTCGAGAGGAGCTTTCTTCTCATGATTTGTGTTTATGTTTGCATTTACGTTCTGCCATCAAGCTCAGGGATTGCGTTAATGAATAAACAATAAACTTAAACATGATGATAATGTCATCAGGAGCAGAAAGCGGTGCTGGTTTGTGACAAGGTCTTAACTATGCTGCAGAGCTGGTCACAAAAGACAAGTTCTCTTGTTCTGATTTCTCAAAGTTTTAAGTGTGGGAGTCTAAGCCTCCACCTTGAGTGAAGCTGGCTTCCTTAGCTGCGCTGGGCCAGACAGACACATCTCCACTTCACACTCTTGTTTACCTCCTTTTAGAGACTACATGCTTCATACATATTGTGTGTTCCTTGAGCAGCGTGTTGCAGTGGCAGGAAAGGAATTATTGGCACAGAGATGCCACATATCTTGAAAGAGTCACTATGATTTCTCAAGACTATTTAAAACCAAAATCAGATTCAAAGTCATCTGCAATAAA